TTGCCAAGGTGGAAAGACTCGCAGACTGCGTTGACTGTGTGACCTCTAAAAGTAAGAAATTTAATTAGTAGACAGGACTCCAAAGAGCTATTGTCCAAATGACACAGTAAAATCCAAATCGTTAGAAGCACAAAGTAACGTTCTATATGTGGGGTGTGTGATAGACTTACCTCCACGTGGTGCACCCTGGGCAACATATACTCATACGGCAAAAAAGTCTATTATCTGGCAGTTGACTTCAAACTACCATGACCCCACTGTATGTCATATTCGACTACTTTCACAGTACTCATCCCACCTTTTTTCTACCTTATCTACCTTCGTCTTCGATGCACTCTTCTGTTCCCCCCCCCCACACCTCTTGACTTTCTTCCCCTCTGTGAATACTGAAATCAATTAAAGGGCTAATGATGACAATCAAAACGCCTGCCATTTGATATAATAATAATGATACGTTCTATATGTTTAATTAGAAAAAAGACGGCTAATTAGAATCGCTAAGCCATTGAGCTACAACTTCTAACGTTGCTAATCCCTGATTAATGATTTTTAAGTGGTGACAAGTAACTTTAGATATAAGAAATATACTTAATTGCACCAATATGGATTTAACTAGGTCACAAGGCGTGCAAGCGGTCTATTTTGCATAATAGAATCAGAACAAATGATCGGGTACCAAAGAAAAGTGTAAAGAGAGACAATTTTCTTAATTTTAATTTAAAAAAAGATAGAAACTTACCGATTAGTGTCCCTGGCGACATCTTCGTACACACTTTGGACACCAATTTCAAGACGCGTACATCCATAACTCAACATTTCACTGAACAAAAATGCCAATCTCAAGCCGTGATAAACAAAACCTACCCCAAATGCTTCTTCAAGCAGTAATCCGGCCGAGTTTCAATGGTTATACCAATACACTTTGTCCTGCTTCTCTCAGAATAGCTAGAAAAGGAGAATTAGGGGCCACCAAGTACTACTTACTATACTGCATCAGCGACATTCTTCGAGCGATGACCGGAGAGGGCGTCATGAAGGTTTCTAATAAAGTAATCGCGATAATCTTCAGGAAGACACATAAAAGTCCCTCCCATAACGATAAACTCTACTTTGTCAACTGAGTGACCGGATTCTTTTAGCTGGTAAAAGTGATTAAGGATGAGGAGAGAGGTGAGGTGAACAAACCTGATCAATACGGTGACGAACTTGCACGTAGGGATCGTAACGAGCTTGAATTGCTCGGCAAGATGTTGGTTCTTTGCCAACATAGGATTGAGTCGAATACTCGAACTCAGAATCTGGACCTCCAGGACAATATCTGAATTAATGAAAATTTGATAAAAAGTTAACAAAAATAAAATTACACGCAAACATTCCCGGTCATAGCAATATGAGGACATCTATGAGGTTTACACATTACAGCTACAGCAACAATCTAAAGATTGCGTTTTTATAAAAAATTTCTTACTCCACTAGCAGATCGAACTGGTTTGGCTGGTGGTAGCACTGATTTAAGGAGCTAGAAAAGAATTATTACGAAAATTTACCACAATCTTACATCTTTGTAATGTGGAGGAATAGCTGCTATAATGTCTATATAACGAGGTTGAGATGGTAAATTGTATTTTCGCGAAATTTTCGCTTTAAGTCTAAAGTGTTAAAATGGAAACGTGTAACGCTACTTATTTAGATCCACACTTCTGTTTGCTTTAGTCTCCTTAACTAGCTCATTGATGATCTCTGAGATGGTAAGAACCAGCTTCTCTTCCTTGTCAATACTTCGATCTAGAAATAAGGTATACTAACAAAGTAATAATTACGCACTTATAGCTGATCTCGGAATCATGCCTCAAATGAAGCCAAATATATTTGAATTTCACGGTGATCGTGCTAATAAGATAAATTAACCAATATGTCACGATAAATCTCGTTTGATATGTATAAATCAAATTAGAAGTCCTAAAAGCATTCCTTATATTATGATTTCGAATCAAAACGCACTCTCGTTTTATAAAATTTTAATTGAATTTATTTGTTATGATAATTTGCTGTTTTCTATTTAGATTCAGTATATTATTACTAAGTCAAAACGCATTTAGTTCTACTTACGCGTGCTTATAACAAGTTCCGTGTTATTGGCATTTCACAATTTTGTGTGCAATCGGTGATTCGTTTGTTGTAAAAGAGTGGGTCAGTTGAGCTTTTGGGTTAGCACATGTTTGTTGTCCAAAGGTAAGGGATAAACGCGCATCATATGTCACTGAGGCGAAGTTCGGTTTAGCTAAGTAAACATCCTTTTTTAATTAGGTTTAATGACCTTTGTGCTCTTTCCTTCCTATTATCATTAGTATTTCTTTTCTTAAGTATGGCATAAAGAACGACGTTTTAATGAAAGGTCGATTAATTTTTTTCAATGTCGTCCTATAAAAAAATTCACGTTTGTTATTCCTTAATGTCGTTATATACTGGCTTTGATTTGCAAGTTTAAGATACTCCTATTTTTCTATTTATTATCGGTCTCGTATTACTCCACTAACCTATTTGTGGCCCTTTTATTTTTAGAAAATGTTGCGGTTTGGCTTTATTTCTCTTCAAAGCTCACAATTATTATTTGGACAATTAAAACGATTCTCAATTTCTGTTTCTACCGTGTCTTCTAATTTGAATACTGGCCATGTTCAGAGTATACCTCGATCTAAAAGTAATTTAGTAGTATATCGACTAGACTAATCTACTTTAGTTGAATTTCTTGCAAAGATGCTATTTATGCCCTCTCAGAGTCCTCCGGACAGCCGTCTTCTTAAAATTGCTGTTCTTGGATATCCGAATGCAGGAAAGTCTTCCCTTGTAAATATGCTTGCAAATTGGCGAGTTTGTGCAGTTTCTGGAAAAGCTCACACAACTCGTTCCAAGCAAACTGTCGTATTTACCAAAGACAACATCCAATTAGCTTTTGTCGACCTGCCTGGCCTTGTTTCAGCTCGTCAAGTTCGACAGTAATTTCCCTGTTGCTTATTTCCATCACCAAACGCAATTTGTTAGATTCAAACTGGAACGTACCTTTATTCGAGATCCTCATTCAGCCATATTCGATGCCGATTTAAGTATGTGCTCTATTTATCAAAACGCCAATCTTGTTTTTTTGGCTTTAGTTCTTGTAGTAGTAGATGCTTCAAATAAATACGCAAGGCTGGCGTTAGACCCGGAGCTCTTGAAAGCCCTTCACTTTTTCCCTGAAAAGGAATCCATCTTAATTTTGAACAAGATTGACAAGTCTCGAGGGGATCATTGTCGTCTTTTGGATATAACTCGACGTCTAACTGGGGGAGTTGTTGGTGTAGCAGAACTGGGTACTAAACTCCTTTCCCATTTAGACTCTTTTGTCAATAAGTATATTGAAAGGACCAAATTGGGAGATAGTTGGTCAAAGATGCATCGCAGTATTGAGGACATTGTTTATCCTTTGCTCCCATCAGAAGCACACGAGGCTGCTCAAGCGAGATTAGAGCATGTTGAAAAAATTATGGCTCTCATTTCGCCTCCTATTCAAATTGAATCTCTTCCGAAATCGAAAATCGAATCCAAGGCGGTTGAAGATGTTAAATATCTTACGTCGTCGTCGTCGTCAGAAAATCAAAATGGTAGGAAAAATTCCGCACTCTTTTTGTTTTGAGCGTTTCTCCTTATACTTGTCTCCAAGTTTTATTAATAAGAAAAGAATTTGGTAAATAATTTCAGGAAGTCAATATCGCTATTGGCTGCTATGCCATCTCTTTTCTACTGTTTTTATTTCTCGTCGAGACTCTAAAATCAATTATCAGGAAATTATTTCCCTTCCGCAATCTCTCACGATCTCTAGTTGAGATCAACTGTCTATCGCCCTACTCGTTTTTATAACTAATGGCCTGTTCTCACCTTATCGGAAAACTCCACACAGCTCTCGTCAATTATCGTCAATTATCACCCTTATTTCGACCTCAGTAGCCGTCTGGGAATGGCAGTGATGTCTCCCCAGATTTCGTCACATTTCTCTTCTATATTACCACCTTCATTCGATTTGTGCCACTTTATGAATCTTAAATCGTATAAGCCGATATTGATATCAATTTATTCTGTCAACCCTTAAAACCATTCTGTCTTCTTACGGGCTTGCTTATTTGGCTAGTGGTCTTCTTTTAGAACTTGCTCAGCCTTTTCCGGTATCCGAGGCATCAAACGCAGAACTGACATCCGGTGAAATTGGACGGGAAACAGAAATTCCGCCTAAAAGTATTCTGGAAAGTGGTACGTCATCAACTTTAGCATCATTAATTCTTTTTTGTTTAAAGCTTGCTAAGTTAGTCTTGATATATATATATATGTCGTATAATCATTAATCACTTGACAAAAATGTCATTAATTTCTCTGTTATATCATTATTTATTTATATTATCATTATCATTAGCCCTTTAGTTGACTTCAGGCTTCACAGAGGGGAAGTTAATTCAAAGAGAAAAAAGTCGAGAAGGGGGGGGGGCAGAAGAGTGTTTCAAAGATGTAAAAGAGACAGACACAAAGGTAGAAAAAAGGTGAGGTGAGTACTGCGAAAGTAGTGAATTTGACATACAGTGGGGTGATGGTAGTTTGGAGTCAGAAGTCAACTGCCGGTTGTTAGAATTTTTTGCCGTATGAGTATACGTTGCCCAGGGTGCACCACGTGGAGGGAAGTCTATCGCACACCCCATGTTATATCATTAATTACTGCCATCTGTGAATCACTCTTCCCCCCCCCCCCTCTGTGAAGTCCGAAGTCAGCTAAAGGGCTAATGATGACTATCAATATGCCTGCCATTTGAAATAAATAAATAAATTATTTACTGCCACCTTGTTTTCTAGTTGGAAAAGGGCAAAATTGTGGTTGAACGAATGACTTCTTTGTGCTAGTGAGTGAGAAATTTTATAGCACTGAAAATCGGGCAGTGTAAACTGTATTTCTAGTCGCTTATTAACTACATACGTCTGATTGTACGTCAAAATTCTGCTCCTTTAAGGTTCAGGGAATTTGTAATGGGAAGGACTTCTGTATGCTCAAGTCTAGTTAACGAATTTTATTTTTCTTCTTTTTTGTAACCCCTATTTTATCATTTTACTATTGGACAATCACGTGGGGATGAGTAGTTCTTTCAATGAAACTATTGGGTTGGCAACTAAGTCATTGTCGTTTTTATTGACGGATTCACTCTATACTTTCTTTTGTTTTGTTAACGTGGCCAGACCATCTAACCTATATTTTTTTCTTACTGTTTGGGCTTCTAGGTTAATTAGTAGAACTTTTTTTTGTTTAGTTCTTTAATTTTGTTTTTATCCCAATTTAAAAATGAAAGAACAGGACGTGCACTTCCGACACATTTTATTGTATTACTTCCGAAAAAACAAGAACGCATCGCAAGCACAAAAGAAGTTATGTGCCGTATATGGAGATGAAGCCTTAAAAGAAAGGCAGTGTCGAAATTGGTTTGAAAGATTTCGTTCCGGTGATTTTTCACTGAAAAATTCACAACGATCTGGCAGCCCAGTCGAAGTGGATGAAACCCATATCAAGGCCATTATCGGTTCAAATCGTCACAGCACAACAGGAGATATTGCAGAGAAGCTCAATGTGTCGCATACATGCATTGAAAAAAATTTAAAATCCCTTGGTTATGTCAAGAAACTTGATTTATGGATCCCTCACCAGTTAAAGGAAATTCATTTAACGCAACGGATTAGCATCTGTGATTCGCCGCTACTGAAACGCAATGAGAATGATCCATTTCTGAAGAACCTAGATACTGGCGACGAAAAGAGAATAGTTTATAACAATGTTACTCGCAAGAGATCATGGGTGAAGCAAGATCAACCAGCCCAAACAGTATCAAAAGCAGCAGAGATTCACCAATAAAAGATTATGCTGTGAGTCTGGTGGGATCACAAAGGAATTTTGTATTTTGAACTCATGCCGCAGAACCAAACGATAAATTCAAATGTGTATGTTGAAGAACTCGAAAAACTGAAGGATGCAATTGAAGATAAGCGGCCGGCATTATCAAATCGGAAGGGTGTTGTTTTCCATCATGATAACGCAAGGCCCCCGCACCCATCTTTGGTTACTCGGCAAAAATTATTGGAACTG